GGTTTCTGAAAACCTATTCTCTACCCGGATCTTCACAGGTCCACAGCAGCAGTGAAAACGATCCATATTTCCTATGTGTGAATTGTTTCGGAGTTCAACTTCCCTACCGTTTTTTTTCAAATTACAAAGAGATCACTTGAACTATGGAATCAAATCCGGTCGGTTGGAGAGTGGATCTACATTTGAAAAGAGTCACAGCATTTGTTAATCCGGATGGGGATTTTTGTCATAATAACCTGTTCCCGGAAATAAAATATATTTTGTCTTATGCGTATATCTGAAATAATCGATCACTGGCCATCCCCGCGAATATTAAATGCTTGTCCCTGAAAGCGACTAAAGCGACTGGTGGCCTTGACTGATAACGTGTCATTGTACACCGATGGCGTTGGGCGTTGGGTTATGTCCATCAAAGCATTGATTATTTACAGCCCGCCGTGGTAGTGGTGGAATATGGCTGACTGACATATTCTTTCCTTCCCTGCGGACATGTCTCGTGTAGCATAAGGGTGCAAAACAGACTGACTGATTTAGAAGGGGAGAAAGAAAGAGAGAGAGTGAGAGAGAGATAAGACGTCTATAAAGAGAGAAGGGGAAAAAGGAGAGAGAGAGGGGAGAGAGAGAGTGAGAGAGAGATAAGACGTCTATAAAGAGAGAAGGGGAAACAGGAGAGAGAGGGGAGAGAGAGTGAGAGAGATAATGAGAGAGAGATAAGACGTCTATAAAGAGAGAAGGGGAAACAGGAGAGAGAGGGGAGAGAGAGAGAGTGAGAGATATATAAGACGTCTATAAAGAGAGAAGGGAAACAGGAGAGAGAGAGGGGAGAGAGAGAGTGAGACAGAGATAAGACGAATATAAAGAGAGAAGGAGAAACAGGAGAGAGAGAGGGGAGAGAGAGAGTGAGAGAGAGATAGGACGTCTATAAAGAGAGAAGGGGAAACAGGAGGGAGAGAGGGGAGATAGAGAGAGAGAGTGAGAGAGAGATAAGACGACTATAAAGAGAGAAGGGGAAACAGGAGAGAGAGGGGAGAAAGAGAGAGTGAGAGATAAGACGTCTATAAAGAGAGAAGGGGAAACAGGAGAGAGAGAGGGGAGATAGAGAGAGAGAGAGTGAGAGAGAGATAAGACGATTATAAAGAGAGAAGGGGAAACAGCAGAGAGAGGGGAGAAAGAGAGAGTGAGAGATAAGACGTCTAAAAAGAGAGAAGGGGAAACAGGAGAGAGAGGGGAGAGAGAGAGAGTGAGAGAGAGATAAGACGTCTATAAAGAGAGAAGGGGAAACAGGAGAGAGAGGGGAGAAAGAGAGAGTGAGAGATAAGACGTCTATAAAGAGAGAAGGGGAAACAGGAGAGAGAGGGGGGAGAGAGAGAGAGTGAGAGAGAGATAAGACGACTATAAAGAGAGAAGGGGAAACAGGAGAGAGAGGGGGGGAGAGAGAAAAAAAAGACGTCAATAAAGAGAGAAGTGGAAGGGGGAGAGAGAGGGGCGAGAGAGAGAGGGGAGAGAGAGAAGGGAGAGAGAGAAAGAGGTATTTAAAGAGAGAAGGGGAAGGTGTGAGAGAGTGGAGAGAGAGACGGGCGAAGAGAGGGAGAGAAAGACGTCTATAAAGAGAGAAGGTGAAGTGGTGAGAAAGAGAAAAGAGACCAAGAGAAAGAGAGAAGACAGACAAGAGAGGGAAAAAGAAAAGCGACAAAGAGGGAAGTGAGAGAGATGCAGACAGAGACAGCGAAAGAGACGGATAGAGAGAGCGAGAGAGAGACACACACAGAGAGAGAGAGAGAGAGAGAGAGAGAGAGAGAGAGAGAGAGAGAGAGACGGGGTAGGAAGAGAAAGAGTCTGTGGAACATGTATCTGGTGTTCTTCAGGTATTGTTCACGTGGTGTTGTTGTCAAGGCAACGAAACACAATTCAGTGTTCAATGATTTATTCAACTCGATACAAAAAGGTAGAAAAGTAGAAAATAATCACATTTATACCAAGCATTCACTATAGTTACAAACTATTTACAATATTTGTCCACACTTTACATCATCACATCTATTCGATCCAATTTCGAAATCTACTTATCTTAAATTAAACCTAGAAATTGTAAATGATGACATTATCAGTTTAAGTGACATATTCATCCGTTTTGCTATTGGACAAAACAATACTTTGTGAAAGTGTAAACAATATTTTTACAAGTCCGATATATACAAAAGTTGAGATTTCTTGATATAAATACGACTGATAATACTTCGTGCTAACGAAATACATGTATTTACAATATACAAAAAGATGCACAAGTAATAATCATATTGACCAAGGCAATGCTTAACATCTATTGAGTAGTATAATTTGAGAGCTATATTTTCCTCTTCGCTTTCACCATTCATTCATTCTCGACCCATGAAGATCTGGGCTAGAATAGGTCTTCAGCAACCCATGCTTGCCGTAAAAGGCGACTTTTCTTGTCATAAGAGGCGACTAACGGATCGGGTGGTCAGGCTCGCTGACATGGCTGATGCATGTCATCGTACCCCAATGGCGTTGATGCTCATGATGTCCATCACTGTAATGTCTATTCCAAACTCGATTATTTACAGACCGCCATCAAATTGTTGGTCAAGCAGACGCTTCAGTTTACATTGTGTTGGTCAAGCAGATGCTTCAGTTCACCTTGTGTTGGTCCAGCAGGTGCTTCAGTTCACCTTGTGTTGGTCCAGCGTGTGCTTCAGTTCACCTTGTGTTGGTCAAGCAGGTGCTTCTGTTCACCTTCTGTTGGTCAAGCAGGTGCTTCTGTTCATCTTGTGTTGGTCAAGCAGGTGCTTCAGTTCACCTTGTTTTGGTCAAGCAGGTGCTTCAGTTCACCATGTGTTGGTCAAGCAGGTGCTTCAGTTCACATTGTGTTGGTCCAGCAGATGCTTCAGTTCACATTGTGTTGGTCAAGCAGATGCTTCAGTTCACCATGTGTTGGTCAAGCGGGTGCTTCAGTTCACCTTGTTTTGGTCACGCAGGTGCTTGAGTTCACTTTGTGTTGATCAAGTAGGTGTTTCAGTTCACCTTGTGTTGGTCAAGCAGATGCTTCAGTTCACCTTGTGTTGGTCAAGCAGGTGCTTCAGTTCACCTTGTGTTGGTCAAGCAGGTGCTTCATTTCACATTGTGTTGGTCAAGCAGGTGCTTCAGTTCACCCTGTGTTGGTAAAGCAGGTGCTTCAGTTCACCTTTTGTTGGTCAAGCAGGTGCTTCAGTTCATCTTGTGATGGTCACGCAGGTGCTTCAGTTCACATTGTGTTGGTCAAGCAGGTGCTTCAGTTCACCTTGTGTTGGTCAAGCAGGTGCTTCAGTTCACCTTGTGTTGGTCACGCAGGTGCTTCAGTTCACATTGTGTTGGTTACGCAGGTTCTTAGGTTCACTGTGTATGTCTGATGCCTAAACCTAACTTTTCAGAGATCTTCATACGCCAGTATGTTGGACAGAGGAAAACTACCCTCGTCACCATTCCACCCTCCCCCACTCCCGATGAATGATTAACGTCCCTGAGTTAAAAAAGGATTAATGAATCAAAACGCCTCACAATTTGAATTACAAGCTTCCAGAAATATTAAAATGTCAATCCACTACATTCAGGATACGCATTTCACACGTGAAGGACCGCCTCCGTGGTCGAATGGTAGAGCCTCCGCCCAGGGGTGGAAGGTTCGGGGTTCGATCCCCGGTCGCGTCTTACCACAAGGCGTTAAAAGGTGTCACTTGTTGTCTGGTGCTCGGCATTAAGGGCCTAAAACAAGAATCAGAATATTGTGTCTGAGTGGGGTATTCATGTTAAACTGCGGCATGGTATCTCAGTGGGCTAGCACTATTAATTGGCATCAGTCCAAACTAGTACAAGCACTCAAACACACACACACACACACACACACACACACACACGTGCATGCACATTGCTATATACATGCAATAATCTTGGACGCGACGTTAAACCCAAATTCACCTCACATCACACGTGAAGAAGAACATAAAATACAACAGTGGGTATCCACACATTGTAGGATTAGTTGAAAGGACATATTGTCCTCAAACAAATAAAACACCAACACCACCCTAACATACAAAGATTTAATAGACGGTCACCGAGACTTACACTGCAGTCTATATTTGCAGGGAGTGGAACATGATCAACTTTATGTACACAACTATAACGATACAAAGAATGCAATATTGGAGCATCTAGGAGACATTCTATATTTGCAGGGAGTGGAACATGATCAACTTGATGTACACAACTATAACGATACAAAGAATGCAATATTTGAGCATCTAGGAGACATTCTATATATGAAGGGAGTGGGACATGATCAACTTGATGCACACAACTATAACGATACAAAGAATGCAATATTGGAGCATCTAGGAGACATTCTGTATATGAAGGGAGTGGAACATGATCAACTTAATGTACACAACTATAACGATACAAAGAATGCAATATTGGAGCATCCAGGAGACATTCTTCAATTCCGTCCATAGATAACCCTGAATCCGTCCACTTGTGATAATACGGGGTAGAATTGGTCGACAGCAACTCATGTTTGAAGTGTGAGGTGACAATGCTTGTCGTAAGAGGCGATCGGGTGGTCAGGCTCGTTGTGTGTGGATCGCTGGCATGCTGTCAATCACTGGATTGTCTAGTCCAGGCTCGATTATTTACAGAGCACCGTCATGTAGCTGGAGTATTGCTGAGTGCGGCGTTAAACAACAAACAAACAAACAACAATGAAAGGAAGCAATCCCAATACTAGCCAGGTTAGAAGACTACATAGTGATGTTGGACATTCAATGCTTTACTTCAGGATAAACAATATGGAGACCTAAATAAAACAGTAAATATAGGTTAGTACATTAGGACTTGTTGTTTAATTGTTTCAGGAGTCCGAGGCACTATGAAATGGTTAGCAAGCGAGCGAGTATTACTTTATGCCGCTTTTAGCAATATTCCAGCAATATCACGGCCGGGGACACCAAAAATGGACGTCGTACATTGTACCCATGTCGGGAATCGAAACGGCGTGACGAGGGAACGGTTTAACCACTAGGCTACCCGACCGAGGCCGAAATGGTTCGTAAAAGGCTTTAGGATCTTACTATCCATTAAAACGATTAGACACCATGGTCCGAGTGCTCAAGCCAATATAAACCATGGCTAACAGTCAGAGAAACTCAGCACTTAACCATCAATAAAACAAAATAAAAGAAGATAAAATGAAAGAGACCGTTTCAAGTATATTGACAATATTGAGATCTCAGACATATTTTAAAAACAATTAAAAGAAATTACAAAACCGCGAACAAGATGAAAACAGTTGGAATGCTTATAATATCAAACACAGAAATTCGCACATTTTTAAAGGAGATTAATACATGCTTATATCGTTATCCTAGGGACATAAACGAAAACGATGTTTTATCCCGATAATGAGGGATTTAAATCTCAAAAACCTCCGGTGGTCAGTTTTTTATGTCACCCACAAACCAAAATGAAAAAAAACAACAACTTTTAGCAACACCTTCATGTTTCTTACACATATTCCGTGAAACGGACGTAAAATATCTCTAGCTTGCGTTCAGGCACATGACTTGGTCTCCCGAGCCTTCGTTTCCGTCATAAGGCTACAGATGTGAAGGTTGCATGTTCGATCCACTAAAATAAAAAAAATAAAAACATCGGTTTTTCCAGAGTTAAAATTTATAACATCCGTGATTTATGTTTATAATCACCGGAATTGCACAAGTTTGGGATTGATGAGGCACTAAGATGATAGTAGGATAGTAGGAAGTCACTGGAGCTTTATAAAATTAAATAATTTATCATTATCTTTGCACAAATCATAAAACAAAAGAGACAATTATTTCACCTTTGTTCAAATATTTGCACAAGTCAACGTTTTATCAAACCCAAGACAGTTGATGGAACTTTCATCTTAATTAAATTTCTCATTGTCTCAGCAACCTATATATCAGCCAAAAGTTGCAACGATCAAAGCAAATTCATGGCAAATGTAGGTGTTATGTTTGTAACTAAACTTGTTAGTATCACAACAATATCTGTCCAATATCCCTACAGTTGGGGAAACACTTGAATATAATCACACCAATGTCTGTCCAATATCCCTACAGTTAGGGAAACACTTGAATATAATCACACCAATGTCTGTCCAATATCCCTACAGTTTGGAAAACACTTGAATATAATCACAACAATGTCTGTCCAATATCCCTACATTTGGGAAAACACTTGAATACAATCACAGCAATGTCTGTCCAATATCCCTACAGTTGGGGAAACACTTGAATATAATCACAGCAATGTCTGTCCAATATCCCTACAGTTGGGAAAACACTTGAATACAATCACAGCAATGTCTGTCCGATATCCCTACAGTTGGGAAACACTTGAATATAATCACAGCAATGTCTGTCCAATATCCCTACAGTTGGGAAAACACTTGAATATAATCACAGCATGGTTGTCCAATATCCGTACAGTTGGGAAAGAACTTGAATATAATCACAGCAATGTCTGTCCAATTTCCCTACAGTTGGGAAACACTTGAATATAATCACAGCAATGTCTGTCCAATATCCCTACAGTTGGGAAAACACTTGAATATAATCACAGCATGGTTGTCCAATATCCGTACAGTTGGGAAAGAACTTGAATATAATCACAGCAATGTCTGTCCAATATCCCTACAGTTGGGAAACACTTGAATATAATCACAGCAATGTCTGTCCAATATCCCTACAGTTGGGAAAACACTTGAATATAATCACAGCAATGTCTGTCCAATATCCCTACAGTTGGGAAACACTTGAATATAATCACAGCAATGTATGTCCAATATCCCTACAGTTGGGAAAACACTTGAATACAATCACAACAATGTCTGTCCAATATCCCTACAGTTGGGGAAACACTTGAATATAATCACAGCAATGTCTGTCCAATATCCCTACAGTTGGGAAAACACTTGAATACAATCACAGCAATGTCTGTCCAATATCCCTACAGTTGGGAAACACTTGAATATAATCACAGCAATGTCTGTCCAATATCCCTACAGTTGGGAAAACACTTGAATATAATCACAGCATGGTTGTCCAATATCCGTACAGTTGGGAAAGAACTTGAATATAATCACAGCAATGTCTGTCCAATATCCCTACAGTTGGGAAACACTTGAATATAATCACAGCAGTGTCTGTCCAATATCCCTACAGTTGGGAACACACTTGAATATAATCACAGCATGGTTGTCCAATATCCGTACAGTTGGGAAAGAACTTGAATATAATCACAGCAATGTCTGTCCAATATCCCTACAGTTGGGAAAACACTTGAATATAATCACAGCATGGTTGTCCAATATCCCTACAGTTGGGAAAGAACTTGAATATAATCACAGCATGGTTGTCCAATGTCACTCCAGTATGGAAAGAACTTGAATATAATCACACCAATGTCTGTCCAATATCCCTACAGTTGGGAAAACACTTGAATACAATCACCCCAATGTCTTTCCAATGTCACTCCAGTTTGGGGACCACTTGAATACAATATTCGTGTAATACTTGCATACAATCAAAGACATTTGTCTTTTTGTAGGGTATTTATTTGATGATGGCCAATGTCGTGTAGTATGCGTTTAACCCTTTCCTGAAATCTTTCACTCTGTAGGTGTAAATGAGACGGGTGAAACAAGCCCCAGGTAGTAGAGACACATCTGTGACTAGGCTCAGAGGAACTCCTATTTCAAACATAAACTTCATACTCATTGAACAAACAACTTGTCACTGAAGCCGTTAATATCGCTGCCATTGCCTTGCTGTGCCTCACCCTCACATCGTGCTCTAAGTCACGCGCAATGTGTCTTCTGGTGACGCCATTAATCCGCCCATACATCACCAGCAGCAGCAGCAGCAGCAGCAGGGATCACCTAAACCACACTGCTTGTATCTGAATACAAGTTGTAATACGGTCGTTATCATAGAGTTTAAAGTCATCCATATGGCATTCTTCAAGAGACATTCTACACCACTATATGTACAGAAAGTATGTATACATAAATCTCCTTTAAAAATGTGCGAATTGCTGTGTTTGATATTATAAGCATTCCAACTGTTTTCATCTACAGAAATGGCCTCTAGGTGTAGGTAACACTTTAATCTGCCACGACTACATGACCAGGGCTACAGTGACATCAAAGTTCCTATAAATATGGAAATTATTCTAAATGTACAATAAGCTTCCTTACACAATGCTCTTGCACGTGTGGACATTATTATCAAATCAGTGCTATTGTTTATACATATTTACAGATCTGAACACAGCACTACCATAAAACACAATAAATTACTAAACATCCTAAAACTATCATACATGTCAACACACTTACCACTCTGTCCAGGAGAATCAGACATTGGTTAAATCTCACACACATCCTAACCAATACCGTATTCAACGTACACCTGTTTATATAATGTTATTTATGAAAAGATAGATTTATATATGTTTATGTATTTAATTGGAAACATACCTTGACTTTATAAAAATCTGTAACAGGTGCCCACGTGCTGTGGTCTGTCAGTGACTTGTCTTTGTAGTGACTGAGGTGCAAGTGAGGGTTAAAAGCATGCACAGCTGACCCTAATGAAAACAATAGGGTCAACCACTCAACCAGAACATTTACCCTGGCTGACACAAAGAAGCTGATAGTTATGCTTGGGTCAGTCACTCCCCTAAGTTAAAAGGTGTTGTATTAAATCTTCATTGAAATCCCTAAAACCCATACTGCAAACTAATACTAAATACTAATACTAAATACTAATACTAAATACTAATATTAAATACTAATACTAAATACTAATATTAATAATAAATACTAATACTACATACTGATATTAATAATAGTATTAATGCTAATACTAACTACACTATGTATTATATACACTATATACTACTGGTATATTACTGGTTTGTTGACAGTTAAACAAAACCTGTAACTGCCACACAATGATAGATGGAAAAATGAGTAGAACTGTGACGTAGGTACCAGTTTGAAAAGGGGCAAAATCCCCAATTCGAGAGAGCGGCTGGGGAGACTTCATCTTGACTGGTGCTCCGCTCTCGTCCAAAAAGCCTCCAAATCGAGAGAGCGGCTGGGGAGACTACATCAGGAGTGGTGCTGCGCTCTCGGCTTGTTGTCACGATCTTTCGAACCAGACACCAAACTCAGGAAGCGGCATTTTGACTGGGATTGAAGCTTTGCGGACGAAGTCGCGTATTTAAGTGACAAATAGAGTGGGTTGACCGGCAACACAAAGTGGGAATAAAAGCTGTTAAACGAAGATCACTCTTTGTGCTTGTTGGAGGAACTACGGTAAAAGGTCCAAGGCCCTCGGGTTCTGACATTGTACCTCTCGAATATCCCAGACTGTCAGCACCAAGAACGAGGGGATTGCCGTAGTTCAGGTGAAGAGGTACACGAATTGCTACCTTTAATTAATAATAATTACCATCAATTAACATCTTAAAATTACCTTGGATACAAGCACCAAACCCAGACTCGCGGCTACTCTGGGAAAGTGAGATTTTGATGCTGATTGGAACAGATTTCAGTTAATATCAGGGCTTGTGAAAATCCGTCTATTCAAACTGAACATAGATAAAAACGTAGGACTTGTGAAATAAAACAATAAAGGGTCCCTGAAAGGAGAAAGAAGGTCTCGGTTATTGCTCCTTGAAAAGCTGATATATTTGTTAAAGGTAGCTTACCATTGTTGATGAGCTGTGGTACCAACTGAAATCCAGGGCTGACATCTGACATCTATCCATGTGAAATTCGCTCTTCAACATGACTTAAGTCTACATGATGAATATTATGAGCTTATTAAACGTCGTTTGACATCCTTTGTGTGATCGGGATTAAAACTGTGAGTGGGTGTGTGAGTGAGTTTGGTATTGATTCTACGGCCTGTTACCACTTGCTGTTGGCGCTTGCATAGCCCATTGTACAGCCTGTTTTATTGTAAACCTAAACCTATGTGTCTAAATATAATTTAATGATTATTCATTGACCCTGTATGGTCAAAGACTAATTTCACAATTTAATCCTTTACGTTCCGATTTTGTGTTTAAAGTTAGAATTTACCATGATATCAGTCAGTTTGTGATTAAATATGTTCCAACTCTCAAATGAAACAACAAATTGAAATTATAGCCGAAAAAGGGTAGAAATGTTACTGGCTTTTCAACGCTGGCTTTTTCCAGGTACTCCACAGATCGATTTCATAACAACCAGCCATCGTGCGAGTGTCATTAAGAATCAATGAAGCGTACGGTGTGTCAGCCCCGCACTGACCGGCCTCAAGGTGGCAGTTCGTTTGTATGGAGTTTGTTCCGACCTGCCTGTGAAAAATGTGAAACCCGTTCTGATGCGGCTGCTGCTGATGATGATGACGATGATGGTGATGATAGGAATATATCCCCGAACTGGTCTTGTATTGTGTAGGTGGTGTTGGCTTATCGATCTCCGCACATCTCGAGACTAATTAATGTGAGTGAGAAACCTGAACTGTAATAGTAATTATTTCACATTGTTACTTCCTTCCACTGACACACCCTCCCCTTATATGGATGAAATAATCACATTTACATGCACTGTATATATTGTTTTGGCTCATTGCGTATTAGCGTGTGTGGGCTCAACATGTTCTAGAGGAACAACTTTTGTAGTTTCTTTACAACGAATGTATTCAAGTTCTATCCAAAAACACACCCTCAACCTCCCCAAACACCCCCACCCCAGCCCAGCCCACCCCAATTTCGTGATCAACGGGTGAGTGGACCATGATTTATATCTGGTAATTAAAATACCATAAACGAACAGAACATATGGATGAAATAATCACATTTATAGACATTGTATATATATTGTTTTGGCGCATTGGTAATGTCATGTTGACAGTCCCACTTCAAAATATACACCTCGAGATATACATTTCGTAAAACCAGACACAAATCTGCATTCTTCTACTGGCATTTAATAATTAACTTTTACTTTGTGTGAGTTTATTGGAATATGAACCTTTATAGAGTGAGGGACAATTCTATATATTTATATCGCTATTTCTTACTTCAAAGGATGTAGATCTATATCTATAGACAACTTTATTTAGTACGGGTGATTTCATGTTTACACTGACAGCCATACAACAACCAGCTATATCCCGGAATAAAATAGTTCGTCAAAAGGAGAGGTGGCATGAGCGCATGTGTGCTCAACATGTTCTAGAAGAACAACTTTTTTAGTTTCTTTATAACGAATGTATTCAAATAATACCCTGAATAAATTAGAGAGGTCTGTTAAGAACTACCTAAGTAAGTCAGTCACAATGACAGCGCGTTGCAATACATTTACATCAAGTCCGAGACGTCAAAATAGCCGACACGATACACGTGACGTAAGAGACTTTACGAAGTTGATAATGAATCTGAGGCTATAACAAGCGTCAATAAGAAAGGTGATTGTAAAGATGTGCCTAATTGAAAATAAGTGTTTACGTCATTTTAAGTATACAGTCTCGTGAAAAACGTATGAACGTCAAATATGTGCCGGTCATGTGACCGATCCCTCGCCCAATGGAAAAGCCGTATATCGTGTAAACTTAACATAAAAAATGGTTTAAAGTTAAATAGCTGAACAACCGATGCTATTCGCCCAAGTGGCGCGGTAAGAAGGTGACACTGTTAGTATGGGGCGCTGTTAGGTTTTCACGCTGTTAGTATGTGACACTTTTAGTAAGTGGCGCGGTAAGAAGGTGACACTGTTAGTATGGGGCGCTGTTAGGTTGTCACGTTGTAAAGTATGTGACACTTTTAGTAAGTGACACGGTAAGTATGTGACACTCTTAGTATGGGACGCTGTTAGGTTGTCACGCTGTTAGTATGTGACACGTTTAGTAAGTGACACGGTAAGTATGTGACACTGTTAGTACGGGACACTGTTAGGTTGTCACGCTGTTAGTATGTGACACGTTTCGTAAGTGACACGGTAAGTATGTGACACTGTTAGTACGGGACACTGTTAGGTTGTCACGCAGTTAGTATGTGACACGTTTAGTAAGTGACACGGTCAGTATGTGACACTGTTAGTACGGGACACTGTTAGGTTGTCACGCTGTTAGTATGTGACACGTTTCGTAAGTGACACGGTTAGTATGTGACGCTTTTAGTAAGTGGCCCTGTTTGTATGTAACACTATCAGGATGTAACATAGTATGTGACACTTTTTGTATTTGATCATGTTAGTGTGTGACGCTGCTAGTATGTGACGCTGTTAGGATGTGACACTGTGGGTGTGGTCATATGGACGAATGGCGTCAGCCCACCTACAGGATTTCAGGTGGTACCATTGCCTCGCCAACAACTGTACGCGCCCTGTAACAAATTGTTTACTTATTAAGGGACAATAACTGAGAGACCCTTCCTAGTTTAAATTTCATAATCTACTCTATGTAGCATCACAAAAAAGTAATAGATAAGATGTCATTTATGTCTATTTTAAAACACGTTTTTTCACAAGCCCTGATATGACCTGAAATATTTTCACAGAATAGTTAAATCTATAACCGAGATTCTAGGTTTGCTGCTTGGAGCAGTTCATCTTCGGCTGATGAAGACGGGAATAATGGTATGTATGTCTCTGGATAAACCTTCTTCAAACAAGTGCTTTGATACTCGATACGAATCAAAATTGAGCTGTAGACCATAACTTGAGCTCAATCTCATCACAGAAAACGTTGTGGCTTGTCCACCAATAACAGTACTTAGTCACCACAGCAATATTCCCTTCGTTAACCTTCTTGGTGAAAATGTCCTTTTTCAACTGTAAATTAAGATGTCAAACACTGATTACACACAATCAAATTTATAACCATCATCACCCTCATCATCTCAGCTCTACTATCGTGTAACTCATATGCTATACAGTGCTACGGATTGCGAAATATGGCGAGATTAGTAAAGTTGTTACCCCTGCTTCTCGACCTTGTTCTGCGTCATGCAAATGACGGCGATTTCTATTATAATATCAGACAGCCAATTTGAAAAAGAAATCTATCAGATTGGCCAGAATTTTACTGTTCCCCACTGTATAGTTACTGGCGTGAGACTACAAACGTTTAGTCCGCAACGGAAGTTTTTTGTTCAAATATTGCATATTATTGATCAATGTCGACATTTTGTGGTCACTTCATTTGTCGATGAATGTTGGCGAAAGGTTGTTCTTATGTGACCTACTCTGCCCTCACATCTTTGTTTGGCAGTTGCGAGAAGTAAGATCTGATTTACATGAGTGAGTGAGTGACTGAGTATGGTTTTACGTGGCTTTTAGCAATATTCCAGCAATATCACGGCGGGGTATACCAGAAATGGGCTTCAAATATTGTACCCATGTCGGGAATCGAACCAAGGTCTTCTGCGTGACGAGCCAACGATTTACTTTAGATTGATGGCCCTTTATGTCGAGCAATATACGAGCAGCTCGTGTGGATCGTGTCTAAGTTTCACTACTTCCGCTATACAATCAATCGTTTTG